AATTTTGAGTAGTTTAAGTCGATACAAAATAAAATTGTAGTTTACAAGTTTTTAAAGGCTTTTTGAAATTCAATTTGAACAAACATAAAAAAAATCAAAATTTTATTAATCGTTAATTTCTTAAACTTTCTGATTAATTTTATTTAATTTAATTAGGTATTTGAAAAAAGTTTAAAACTTATACATTCTTTAAAACAACAGCACTTTCTTCACATTTGCATCAGTTTTAAATTAAAATGCAACAAAACAAGACTCAGAAAAACCAGAACCACGATACAGCTTAAAAAGCACTTTAAAATTTCACAGACAACAACCTGCAAACAAAATTCACAAAATTTCCATAAACTTGTGAAATGATAATTTACAATTCTCACTAATGCATTCTTCCTATACACAAGTGAGAAAAAAAAACTTTATAATTTATGAATGAAATACAAGCGGATGACTGCTTGGTGAAATTGAGAACGTCGAGAGGTAGCTGGGTCATAAATTTATTAAAATAGTATAATGTGAAATAAAATAGCGGAAATTTCTTCGATTTCTTACTGTTGTTCACTTCCCATGTACTTAGTAGCTACTCATCAATTTGAAACATATGTTAAGTTCAAAATGATGTTTGCTAATTGAAAATTGTGTGCTGATGCTGGTTGGATGTGAGATATTGATGGAAGTAATTTGAGATGTTTGGTTTGTAATTTTGTGGTGTGAGCATCGATTGCTTTATTATGTTTGGGAAGAATGTTGAGTAGATGTATTCGGTTATTAGATGATGTGCTCTTTAGGTTTGTTAGATACTCGAAAATCAAATATTAGACTAATGCTATTGTTGCTTTATATTTCCAAGTAAAACCTAGTTCAAGACAATGCGATTTGGCGCCAATTTGGGAAGTTGTTGGTCAGAAAAATAAATCGTCTGACTTGTCTATTCTTAAATTTTCTACGTTCAATTTCGAATTGATTTAAGCTTTATGCTGCCAAATGTCAAAACTTTAAGTCCATTTATCAAGCCTGCATCAACACTTTTTTGCATCCACAACACAATCTTTTTTTCTCACACAAAAATCGATTCCAAAAAAACCCCAAAAGAGTTCATCATTCTTAATCACCAGCAACCTGCCTGCACAAACCAACAAAAAAAGCTAAAAGCCCACTTCAATTAACATCACACAACACTTATAAATAGAAATCATAAGACATTGAAAACAGAACTCTTCACCTATACAATTTCCATGCGAAACATAAAATTACCGTCGTGAGGAAATCGCAATAAAGGTCAAACACGACACTATCATGATTTAAAAGAAAGTTGGAAGAGCTGACGAGATGGATAGATGAAGATTAAGTATGTGGGAAGCATTAGAACACAAGCAGTCATTTTAAGTCTTCAATCATCTTATTATGAACGCATGACCTAAATTCATATAAAACCCAACCGGCAATTCTGATGAGTAAATAGAAGAAGAAGAGATTTTTTCTTCGTGAAAGAAATATAAATAAGTCGATGAGAAGCTATGAAATCACGGAAAAGGTCGAATTGATCAATTGAAGCAAATTTTAATCTATATTGACGATATATTGGGTCAATTAAAATTCACTGATTCTCATTGTTTGCTCGAGCACGTTTCAAGATGTTGAGGAGGTAAGAAACTAGTTTGAACGTCTTCGAGTGCAAACTCATCTTCATGATGCTGCTTTTCATGCTACAAAAAATTCTTAAAACAAACATAAAATAGAATATCAACATCATAGACAGACAAACTGTCAACATAACCCATTCTTCTATAAAACGATGCTCAATAAACATTGCAAAAGAGGAATGAAATTAAGTCAGTCAGACGAGCGAGCAGGAAGAAGAAAACATTGTGGGAATGTGAGGTTGAAGATCTCCCAAATTAAGGTTGATTATGCATGTATGGATTATAATTATACTCGAAATTATTATTTAATAATTTTTCAAGCTCATGAATGGATTAACAGGAAATAGAATCAACTAATTGTGAGCATATTATGGCAAATGGATATTTGATATGTGCAAATTATATGAATTTTGATAATTTCTGAAGATTAGAACAGATCTGAATGCTTCAATGACCGTTAAGAATGAAGATATAGAGATTTAATTTTTGAAATGAATGGGTATTTAGTGAGCATATGTGAAAATTCTCTATTTCATATCATTAAGGTGGTAATTACACTCAAATTGAACTGCAACATAAGATGAATGCATAGAACAGTTCATCAGAATCTCTTTGTAGATCGTCAGTTACGTGTAGCGGGTTCTGGAATTCTTTATTGTGATTTTATAACAGACAAAGTTGCTGGAACTTTTAAGGGTCATCTGATATGATCTATTTGCTAGTTGATCATGTTATCATCATAGTTTAATATAGCACAGATATCTGTGAAGTAACAACAAAAGAAAATTATTTGATTGGTAAACATTATTGCTGAGCGATTAGCTAAAGTTATGATAAATATGTTAGAATTACTCGGAATAAAATAAATCGTTATGGAATTGACAACGATCCTATCTATTTACTGGTTGTATTGACTTGAGGCTTATTAATGCTTAAATCAATAAATGAAGTTTATTTTAAAATATTAAAACTCATAAAAAAATCAACATTCAAATTGGTTTATTTCAAAGTATTTAAACCAATTTATTAAGTGGAAGGATTGTTAAATGCTTTGCTCACACTTAAATAATACAATAAAATCATTTTGAAACCTCAATAATGTCTAATTAAGCCAAAATTGGTAATAAAAATCTTTATGTGGCAAACTTTCGAATTCAAAATATGAAAAAATTCCAAAATAACGGCTTATAAAATTACAAATAAACAAAACTTCATAAAACAATTCAATTCCCACACATTGAGTTGAAAATTAAGAAATTAAAATACAATTTAACAACTATTCGAGCTACAATGAGAGAAAGAAGACTCAATTCAAGTCCAACAATAGATCAATATTACAGCATTGAAATTGGATCAGCCAATTATTTCATCTCTCTATGCGCTATATATACATTTAATATTTTCATTTATTGTTATCTTATTCTTCATTCTTACCAATCATCGTAGCTCTTTTCACTCATTTTAACATTCATCTCATGTTGTGAATAAATCATTCGACTTTTTTTATTTCTATTTGAATGCTTTCAGTTAATCAGAATCGAGCACACTTATTCATAAATCACAGTCGAGTGTGCTTACTTTCAGTTCTTTATTTTTCAATTCTATTATTTATTTCAATATCGGCTATTGTGGAATTATTTAGAAAAAAAGGAGCTTATAAACGATACCTGCAGCAATGAACTGCTGGAAATGAATTTATTTAACAATATGACAGAAAGTTGATAGAGATTTTTGAGGGATTTCTGCTTTTTCTTTTAATTCTGTTGAGTATTTTGCTATTTTAAAATACATTTTTCTAGTTTCATTTTTTTGCTAAGCTCAGTTGGTTATTGAATTGAATCAAGTGGTTGATCCAGTACTTTATATTGGTAACTATTGAATTACAACCGTCAAAAAAAATTTGAAAAAAAAACGTCAAAATAAATTTGAAAATATAACCGTCAAATAAAATTTGAAAATATAATCGTCAAAAAATTTAAATCCCAAGCTTCAAGGATGTTCACATCTCTTGAGCACATCCACACATATCCAAAACTTTCATTTCGACATCTTTTTCCACTCAATTTATTTTCTAATTTATATCGAACATGGGAAAATTTCTGTTCATAGTCACATGAGGATACAATTTTTTGTTTAAACTAGTGTATCGGGTAGAAACCCAATGCGGATTATATTCACACCGTACTATCATAAGTCTTATGGATAGACCAAGATTTGCCCATCATAAGTATGAAGGTATGAAGCTTGATAAGTCAACTAAGCTTGGCTCAGCATAAGTTTGAAGTTATAAAGCTATCGCGTAAGCTGAGCTACGCTCAGCATAAGTTTGAAGATATGAAGCTAGAGAGGCAGCTGAGCTTCGCTCAGCATAAGTTTGAAGTTATAAAGCTATCGCGTAAGCTGAGCTACGCTCAGCATAAGTTTGAAGATATGAAGCTAGAGAGGCAGCTGAGCTTTGCTCAGCATAAGTTTGAAGTTATAAAGCTATCGCGTAAGCTGAGCTACGCTCATCATAAGTTTGAAGATATGAAGCTAGACAGGCAGTGGAGCTTCGCTCAGCATAAGTTGAAGTTATAAAGCTATCGCGTAAGCTGAGCTACGCTCAGCATAAGTTTGAATATATAAAGCAATCGAGTCAGCTGAGCTACGCTCAGCATAAGTTTGAAGGTATAAAGCTTGACGAATATGCCAAATATTCTTTAAAAGTTTTAAAAAAAAAATTTTCATCCAAAGTTGAATTTTATAAAAATCACAGTCAACTTTTGTTTTAAAAAATTCGTAAGAAAGGAAAGTTTTTTGCCATTTCTGAAGCAACGGCTGTTCCTACCTTGCCCAAAAACAATACAGCTCTTCTATAGAGCAGCACGGATCAAATGTAAAAAACTAGAAGTCTCTACGATGTCTCGTTATTGAGATTTCTTGCTGATTAACTTGCTTGCTTGCTTGCTTGTTTGCTTGTTTGCTTACAGAAGTCGTATTTTGCGATTTTCTCAGCAATGCCACAACCAATTTGAAATCTGTGTTTTGAAAATGATGTAAAATTTCAGGCACAAACTTTTCTTCTTGCCCTTTTATAACCAATTTTGCTTTGTTTTCTCACAAAATGCGAAAAACTGATTTTTCAATCTGAACAAAACCAATAGATTCACACGTGAAAACGGTGTGAATATAAAAATATATTCTTTAATTAGCAAAGTTTGTTATAGTTTTTTCTGTTTGCTACATATTCCATCTATTCAGCATAAAATGTCAATAATGATGCTTTGGAAAGCTTGGCAAGTTCTAAAACAGTTTTAAAGCTTAAATTAAATGATGTTGAAATGGGTGAGTATATAAAAGTTTCTGTTGAGGATTGATCTTATCTTAATTGAAAATTGTGTTTAGTACTTGTTTTGGAATTGTATAGTGTGTCTGATACAATATTGTTAAGTTGTTCTTATTGTTGTCTGGCATTATTAAAGGTTTGTTGTTAATAATGTCCATTAAATCTGAGATTTTGAGACCTCTTCGTCTCCTTTTACAAAAAGTTTTCCTTTTGTATGGAAGTAGTAAATGTTTGACATCAATTATGAACAACTCCTTTTTGAATGAAAATTTGACAATTTAATGAAGGGGTCGTTCACTTTTGACGTCCATTTTTTCAAAAAAGAACAAAATATTTCTAGGAATTTATTTTGTTTTTTGCTGGACGTCATAAGTGAATGGCCTGAACCATAAAATGTTTTAAAAAAATTCAAATAAACCGTTGATTTTTTAAAAATTTTATAACAACAATTCAAATTTTTTTTACCGTTAAAAAAGTAAACTCCAGACAAGTAAACAACATCGTATAAAATCGATGACTCATTCTGTACTTCCCAGAATTTCGTAGCAACACATGCATCCAGCACACTAGCTCACATTTTACAATAATAATAATACATTATCACTGAACCTTTTCTACATGTGGCTTTAAAAATTAAAACAAAAACAAAGTAGAAAATAAATCGCGTTCAATCATGTCGCTCAATGCATCAACAGAGGTTCTCTCACACTTGGTTTGTGTTTTCTTCTCTTTGTAATTTTAATTCACAATTTCATCATCAAAATGTTAAATATGTAAGCAAAATTTTCAGTTATTCAGTATAACTTTAGCAAACATGTGAGACGGACTGAAGAATTAATTATTGTGAAAAATATTTTCGGTTGTTCAGACTTCCTCGATAACAGGTTCGTGCCTGTAACAAAAAGACATTCAGTTAAATGTGCTACATTTTTTACTAACTTAGAGGCAATCAGCCTTGATTCAGTTGAGCGAAAATTTAATTTCTAAAGTTAATCAAATCCACACACCAAAAATGGCAGAACGGCAAAAGTCTAAGTCCAGCACTGACCCAAAATACTTAGCAAGACGTGAAAAGAATCGTCTGGCAGTCACCAAGTTCAGACTCAAGAAAGCACTTGAGGATGAACAGAAACAATCAAGGCAGGATAAATTGCGTCTTGACAATGCTAAGCTCGAAGGAAAAGTTCATCAACTGAAAGTCACTAAGCAGCTTCTGAAGGAGCTTTTGGTCGAGCAGTTAAGACAGCGTGGAAAACGATTAACAAAAGAACAAATGGAATGCATCAATGATAATTTTGATGATGATTTCGATATAAAGGAGGAGGATGATGCTGAATGTGATGACAAAAGCACCAGTGGGGAGTTATCTGATCAATCAAGCAGTGATTTTGACTACAGGGGATAAATTTGAGTTCTCAAGACATGAAGTTTTTAATACGTTTTATAGCTGCAACCAGGCTGTTAACTTGAATTATTTATAATCTGGAAAAAGGAGTGTATTGAGTTGTATTGGCTGGGGAAAGGGGGTGGGGGGGGGTGTAAAAATCAGAATAATTATTTTTTCTAGAGACTATTTTTAAAAAACCTTTATATTGAATGAGACTTTAAAATATGACCAAAGAATTTAAAATGATAAATAAAACTTTAAATCTTTATTAAGAAAATTATGAAATCAATGCAGGAGAGCTGATCAATAAATGTTTGATGCAAAAGCTTATAGAAATTTAAAAAAAAAATTGGTAATTCGTGAAAAAAAAATACAAGATTATGAAATTCAAGTCATTTCAAAGAAAAATTCTAGTTATATTCAGTTATATTTCATACACACTTAACAGCCTTATGTATTTTCTATGAATTCTCAAACCCCCACATCCACAACTATCACAAAAAAATAATACATTATCACCCAGCTCTCAAAGTAATGCCGGTTCAGAAAATGAAAACAAAAACATCAAGTTCAATCATGTCGCTCAATGCATCATCAAATATTCTCTCACTCCTCTCGCAATTCTTATTCTCTCAGAAGTTCACACATTCATTTATTTCACCATCAAAATCTAAACAAACACAAATAACACTTCATATGATTGAATTTGCTCAGTATAACAATTGTAAACATGAGACACAGTCTCATATAAAGGAATATTTTCTGTGACTCAAATTTTGTGTGATAACAAGTTAGTTTTTGCGAATATAACATTGCTTAATACTTTTCTCTTACCCATCGAATGTATTACATTCATTAGAGAAAAACAGTTTATTCGTGACTTTTGATTAAGGAACTTCAAAAAAATGTCAGAAAAGAAAAATCAAGCAGAATTTAAATATATGGAAGATCCAAAGAAGCTGGATCGACGTTTAAAGAACCGCGAAGCTGTTAAAAAACACAGAGAAAAGGAAGCAATTGAAGAAAAGAGAAGACAAAGAAAAGAACAAAAATTAAGCCTTGAAAATGCAAGACTTGAAGGAGAAATTCAGCAAATGCAAATTACTAGAAAGCTTTTAAAAGAACTACTTGTTGATAGATTAAGGAGAAAAGGACAGCAATTAACTCCACAACAAATTAAATTTCTTGAGGATGACGATGATGAGGACGAAAGTTTTGGAATGAATCAAGTAGGAATTATTGCACAGCAAATGACTCATCTGACGTGCTAAAGTTTTGGTTATAAATTTTTGTGATATTAAATCATTTCACGTGAATTAAAGTATTGAGGCTATAAATATGATAAGTATTAGGACCAATGTTTAAGTGATAAATTTGAAGATTATTTTGCAAAGTAGGTTTGTTCAAAAAATATTTGATTCAAAAGTAAATCTTTCTTGAATCAAAATTGCATCAAAAAGTTTAAAAAAAAATTATAAAAAACATTGTATGAGACTTAAAAGAATTTGTTATAATAAGTGACGTCAGCATTAAAATGACGTAATGGCATACTCTTTTACGTTTCATATAACACTTTTTAATTTTGAGATTATTGAATTGCAGTTTTTGATTCAAGCAGGATTCATTTTTGAAAAAATAATTTAAGAATGAACCTTTTGTCATCAAACAAGAGTAAAATTCGTTTAAACTATTTAATACATTTCAAATCTATGGAAAAATCTGAAAACCAATTAAATTGAAAACAAAACATTTTATAAATTTTCCTATAAAAACATACTTTTACGTTAAGTAAGTGCCATTAGTACCCATATTTAAATGAATCTATATTAAGGTTAAATACGTTCCATATGACATCACTGATAACAAAATTACAACATCTTACAACTCAAAAGGCAACATAATACATGTATTTTAATAACATGTTGTAATTTTTATAATTAGAACAATTTTTCTTTTGTTTTCAACTCATAACAAAGTGTTAATTATTAAAAGACAAAAAAAGCTCACTAGCTAGTCTTCATTGATATATATACTTTGGTGATAAAGCGCTTAACAATTAAACATAGTAAAATGAATGAAAATAATTTAATGTAAAATCCTAACTTAATGAATGCATTGTTTTATTTAAAATAATCTCTTTAACAATAAGCCAAATCAAATTGACAAAAAGTTTATGTAAAATTAATTAAATTTTATTGCATTTGTTGATTGTTTTTATAGCTTGTAATGATATACAAATAATGGTATTTATAACATGTTAAACAATGGAATTACGATTTATTATGACACTTTACATTATTGATTAATAAATTTTTAAATAATGACTTTTTTATAAAGTTATTTCAAAGAATATTTAAGTGCGTTATTTAATTACTTTTTTTACTCTTTTTATAACAGGTTTTATGTTTTAGGTTGATTTATCGAGATCGTAATTGAACTTATTGAAAATTTCAGATAGTTTTCAAATTAATGTTGAAATTTAATTCCAACTAATGTGTTGATGGCTATTCTTATGACAAATGATGTTAAGTTGTTGTAAAACAAACTGCTATCTTGAATAAGGATAGAGTTTCATTCAGCAGAGCACGTAAACGTGAGGTTAAAGTTTTTTTCTTAAAATCCTGATTTTTGGCGATTAAATAGTTCCCCAAAATCAATGATTCAATTGTTTTTGTTCACAATTTTAATGAATGTTCATAGATAATGTTATAGCACAAAAAATTCTCGTAAATCCCCCTTAAAAATGTTATTAATAACAGAATTCAATATAGTAATCGTTATATCTATCAAAACTATTTAAGGTGACCAGCAGGAAATCCAATCAGTAGACAACTTAATATAAAACATTTCAGTTTAATCGTTAACTTTAATAAGTAATTATACAAAATATCAATAATCTCATTAGAACTTGTTTTAAATCATTCCTCGAAATTGATGATATTTATTGAACGATAATTTAAAAAAAAATTATCAGCTAAAGTTTTAAATTTCATCATAAATCTTATCAATTCTCAAAATTTATATTGGCACAAGTTCCCAGAAGAAGTGTTCTTGTCAAGATTTCCTTGAATTTACTTTCAACCTGTAACTTTTATTCAGTTCATCACTTAAAGTGAAAGAATCATAACTCATATTATCAATGCTTGTAAATTAATCAAAGTGACAATCTACTGTGTTATTATTCGTGGCTATCAGTTGACAATTATTGAATGGAAATCAATTGATTGTCTTATCCTTATTAATTCTTAATTATTAACTGAATATGATCGTCAACGATCAACCTTCAAATCCCATTTGAAAACGTAAAGAATCTCGCTGTATATGTATTAAGAACACGAATGATTGAAACATTTTCGTCATCATTAAATTTTTGTTTTCGTCATAATCTCCATGTGTTGAGTTAAAAATGTAGTCGCCGGCAACACACGAGGTTTCAAGAGACAATTTATTCATCTCAGTTTTGTTGTTACTCATAAAATATTTGTAATGGGAGAGCGATGATGTCACTAAAGATGTTTATACTTAGTACTACTTTTTGATAAAATTTGATTCAATTTTAAGTACTTTAGTCACTGATGAAATTCAAGATTTATTGAAACTTCCGTTAATATCTCCGGAGTTTTGTTGAGAATCCCTTAAAGTGTTACATTTCTGATAAGTATGCTTTATGGTAATATAAGGTTATTTATTGGAAAAAAAGCAGGAAGTAATCAAACTGATTAAAATTGATAAAAAGTTGATTTATCAGTTTCGTATCCTTGGCAGATCACTTTTTAAAATTAATCAAGGACAAATTTTCTCGTATTTAATTATCTGCAAATTATCTGGGGATAGTGTGGGCGTGAGGAACGGCCGAGACCCATATCGACACAGTTCAAAAGTTATACCTAATTTATGTCATAATTATGTCAGCTACAAAAACACATAGTTTGAAGTTTGTCACCCTCGGGAACACTATGAACCAGTATGTCTGATTTTGGTCCAAATCTTGGCCATACTTCACACTTATTTAAACCACATTTTCTCGTAAATGTTAAATATTATTGAAAAGTAATTAATCCTGAATTATGTCGCTATTTTGTCAAGTGTTTTAGGATAAAGATTTTTTTTTTGGTTTCCGCAGTGAAGAGTATGAACAAAATTCAGATGGGGTAGTCGAAATTTTAGCTTTCGATTTTTTTTAAGCTATGCATTACAATAAGTAATATTGGTATGTGATTTATGTCAGAATTATGTCAATTCAAATAAAACATCCAAAAAAATTTTTGACCAAAGTACACCATAGAAAATCAATTTTCAATTTTGGACTAGGGGCGACCCTAGTCAAAATCAATTTTGTCACTTTTCTCTTCGAGGGTTTATCCAAATGAATTGAAATTTTGCATAAATATTCAAATGCTTAAAACAGATACAAATAAAACATCCTAAAATTTTTTTGAGCAAAGAACCAAGTAGGAAATACATTTTCAATTTTGGACTAGGGGCGCCCCAGTCAAAATCAATTTTGTCACTTTTTCTTCGAGGGTTTATTCAAATGGATTGAAACTTTGCATAAATATTCAAATGCTTAAAACAGATACAAATAAAACATCCTAAAATTTTTTTGAGCAAAGAACCAAGTAGGAAATACATTTTCAATTTTGGACTAGGGGCGACCCTAGTCAAAATCAATTTTGTCACTTTTTTTTTCGAGGGTTTATCCAAATGGATTGAAACTTTGCATAAATATTTAAATGCTTAAAACAAATACAAATAAAACATCTTAAATTTTTTTTGAGCAAAGAACCAAGTAGGAAATACATTTTCAATTTTGGACTAGGGGCGCCCCAGTCAAAATCAATTTTGTCACTTTTTCTTCGAGGGTTTATTCAAATGGATTGAAACTTTGCATAAATATTCAAATGCTTAAAACAGATACAAATAAAACATCCTAAAATTTTTTTGAGCAAAGAACCAAGTAGGAAATACATTTTCAATTTTGGACTAGGGGCGACCCTAGTCAAAATCAATTTTGTCACTTTTTTTTTCGAAGGTTTATCCAAATGGATTGAAACTTTGCATAAATATTCAAATGCTTAAAACAGATACAAATAAAACATCCTAAAATTTTTTTGAGCAAAGAACCAAGTAGGAAATACATTTTCAATTTTGGACTAGGGGCGACCCTAGTCAAAATCAATTTTGTCACTTTTTTTTCGAAGGTTTATCTAAATGGATTAAAACTTTGCTTAAATATTGTAGTGCTCAAAACAAATACAAATAAAACATCTTAAATTTTTTTTGAGCAAAGAACCAAGTAGGAAATACATTTTCAATTTTGGACTAGGGGCGCCCCAGTCAAAATCAATTTTGTCACTTTTTCTTCGAGGGTTTATTCAAATGGATTGAAACTTTGCATAAATATTCAAATGCTTAAAACAGATACAAATAAAACATCCTAAAATTTTTTTGAGCAAAGAACCAAGTAGGAAATACATTTTCAATTTTGGACTAGGGGCGACCCTAGTCAAAATCAATTTTGTCACTTTTTTTTTCGAAGGTTTATCCAAATGGATTGAAACTTTGCATAAATATTTAAATGCTTAAAACAAATACAAATAAAACATCTTAAATTTTTTTTGAGCAAAGAACCAAGTAGGAAATACATTTTCAATTTTGGACTAGGGGCGCCCCAGTCAAAATCAATTTTGTCACTTTTTCTTCGAGGGTTTATTCAAATGGATTGAAACTTTGCATAAATATTCAAATGCTTAAAACAGATACAAATAAAACATCCTAAAATTTTTTTGAGCAAAGAACCAAGTAGGAAATACATTTTCAATTTTGGACTAGAGGCGCCCCAGTCAAAATCAATTTTGTCACTTTTTTCTTCGAGGGTTTATCCAAATGGATTAAAACTTTGCTTAAATATTGTAGTGCTCAAAACAAATACAAATAAAACATTCTAAAAATTTTTTGAGTAAAGAACCAAGTAGGAAATAAATTTTCAATTATGAACTTGGGATAGGTCTAGTCAAAATTTTTTTCGATGTTTTATTTGAATTGACATAATTCTGACATAAATCACATACCAATATTACTTATTGTAATGCATAGCTTAAAAAAAATCGAAAGCTAAAATTTCGACTACCCCATCTGAATTTTGTTCATACTCTTCACTGTGGAAACCAAAAAACAAATTCTTTATCTTAAAACACTTGACAAAATAGCGACATAATTCAGGATTAATTACTTTTTAATAATATATTAATATTTACGAGAAAATGTGGTTCAAATAAGTGTGAAGTATCGCCGAGATTTGGACCAAAATCAGACATACTGGTTCATAGTGTTCCCGAGGGTGACAAACTTCAAACTATGTGTTTTTGTAGCTGACATAATTATGACATAAATTAGGGATAACTTTTGAA